CTCGGTGGTCTAGAATCTAATATTTCTTTATTTGGAAAAGCATTTGCCTTTCTAACCATTTAGTCACGATTACTTGATTGTTCTTTAAAGAGAATTAAATTGGAACAAATGAAATTAACGAAATCAATATAAGTAGATTATAAAGGTGTTTTTTTTACTCTGTGTTTAATTATATTTTTTTATGTATTATGAAATAATTAACTTCTCTCTTTCTTTCGTAACTGCATTTTGTATTTATTTTAAATTGTACATTTACTTTATTGCTTATTTTATATTTTATAAATTAAAATTGTCAAGTGCATATGTGTGCTCGGCTATGTGCGTGTGTGTGTATTACTTTATGAAACAAAATGGAAGATTACACACTTTGTACAATAATTCGGGACGTATGTCAAAGATTTCTATAATATTATACAGAAAAATATCGAGCTCTATTATCGTCTTCAATTGTTCGAGCTTCGCGAAGCGCGTCGTTTCCTCGATTATATCGCACACTCTCTCCAACGGAAGAAACGAACAGATAGGAGAGAAAATAGTTGGCGCGGTTAATTAAGCGGACTCTAGCAGAGACTAGTAGACCTTCCCTCCGACTGAAAACCTATTAGCTCGGCTACGAGCGATCGATCCTACGTCCCGCTTAAACTAATCTATATTTACGGTACAAAGATTGAACCGGCAATACAACTCCAACAGAGTACATTGCCGACCTTAAACTCGAAATAGCAACTACGTGTGTTGACTGAGTATTTTGATCGAGAGGGGGGGAAAAAATCCCCGCCCGTAAAAATATCAGACGAGCCATAAAATAGATTTCTCGACATAGGGTTTCGTAAAATATGAAGGAACCGGAACCATAAAGATTGATTGACCTTAGTTTACAGAAGTAGCGGATATCAAAGACACCAAAAAATATATATATATCGATTCGTTTTTGTGTTACGAAGTCGATCTGAGGCCAAGAAACAAATGAATAGACGTAAACGCAATGTTAATTTCCTTTCTAAAGTCACCGAGCAATATCGAAAGCATTCGATTATCAATATGCAAAATTATACGAGTGGAACGTAATCGAACATATATATATAAAATTAAGAACCGGTAGTTTAGAGAGAAGAGAAAGAGAGAGAGCGAGAGAACGGGTGTGTTTGTGTGAATTAATACGCTTATAAATTATGTACACGCGCAAATACCTATCGCCCCGGCTATTAACCGGTCGACAAGCGCAGTTCCCCTTTAGTCTCGCGTAACACACTCTCTCGTGTAATATCATTTCCGCATAAATCTTATAAAGCGCACGGCTGACGCGAGCGACGGCGGCGTGACTGGCTGGCGAGTCGCGCTTAAACCGCGAAGATGAGAGGAGCGTGATAAGAGGAAAAAAGCTTGCAGGAAAATGGATGCGTCACGTACTGTAACTTACTTTGCCGTACGAGTTAATCTAACTATGAAGTTTCCCACATAAGGGGATGCGGGTAGGCGCGCGCCCCCTCATTCTCCCAAGTAGTTTAAGTTAAGTCAATGCTAATTTCGTTCTGCCTTTAGACGGGTAGGGCGAGATTTACGCAATCGGACGTACGCCATGCCCTTCAACCGCCGTTTCTTCGGTGCGGCCCGCCACTCCGTCGGACTTGACGCTGATTAGCGTTCCTAATAGTCTGGATTAAACGGTGAAATCCGCGCGACTTATTGTTCACATCGCGGGAGGAAGTTAAAGTTTTAACGCAGGTGATAATTCCGCAGCCTGGGAATAATAAACTTGGTTGAAACGCGGGAACATCGAGGTAACTTTCGGCAGTAACTTTCACGGCTTAAATACCACCTGTTAAAAACACGCGCCTTTCTGCAAAATATGTTTCTAAAGAATTACAAAAATTTAGAAAAAAAAACCGTTGCATGCATTTATATTCAGCTATAGATCGCGATAGATTCCATATTTACTCCCGGCGTTATTTCGATGTATACTTTTTTTCAGTTTAAAAAGCCAATGCAGCAAAGTTAAAATAATAATAGAGGCTAATCTTTTTATGTCTTTTATGAGATATTATGTTGATAGGCATATGTAAATTACATATGAAAAATGAGAGGTCGTAACAAAAGCAAGAAATTATATCCGCTAACCCGCCCGGAAGAATGCAGGCAGGAAAAACAAGCGTGTTTACCGTTAAAAATTCAATGGCGCTGCACTGATAGTTCAGCCGATGTCGGCCGGCGGAATCAATCAAAAAGAAAGCGCACTTTCTCGCGCGAAAAACAACGAATTAATATTTAAATGATAAATGGCTTGGCGGGCGGGTTGCCCCATAATTATTGGAAAACGCGAATCTCGCGGCATATAACTCGAATGATTACCTTTCTCATCCTATTTCGCGTGTTGCGCCGTGGGAAAATGTGAGGAGGGGTAACCAGAAAGATATTCCGCGCGCGCTTATTTAAAAGTAATTAAACTTCCTGCGTATAATTCGAACTTGTTAAATCTTCGCCATATATACAGGGTGGGCCATTTTAATTTATACAGTCGATTTTTTAAAA